AACCGAAAGGTTGCATTGCACGTGTAGTCACAGATTTGTGGAGTAGTGTGCTGTGCTGTGCCACTTGGAAGATGTCTTCAATGGGTTTGCACAATGTCTCTTACATGGGTATGGAAAGTCATGTTCGTGTGAGGAAGGCAAGAGAATTATGTGTTCACATTATCCTTGAGTTTCCATGTTTGAGGCACTTCAGAAACGAAGTGGCATGTTTTTTTAGACGCCTCGAGAACTAAAGTGACTTGTTCTGTTGGCGGTGGTGGTGGCGGCGGCGGCGGCGGCGGCGGTGGTGGTGGTGGTGGTGGTTTCATGTCTCTGCACCTCGTGTGCAACGTATGTCTGGTTTTTGGTGTGAGATGGGATGGTGTGCAATCGGATGGTGCATGGAATGGTCTGGGATGGGATGGGATGGGATGTGATCTGATGGTTCCACATTGCATGGTTTGGCAGGTATCAGCCAGCCAACTGCTCCTTCCAGGAACCATCCTGTGCATCCCTTCGTCTGTCCAACTGCACACCGATTCTGAAGCAAGTGGCGCAACTCGGGCTTTAAGAGATGGCAAAGCTGTTGCCCCGTCTTTCTCCTCTGCCGCTCCGTCCTCGTCGTCTTCCTCCTTGCCACGTGGCATTCAACCAGAGGACGTCGAAATGCTGCAGAAGTGTGTTCTATACAAGGTAGGTTGGAAGCTGTAGGAGGGGGGGTTTACGCTTACGCTGGATTCATTTCATTTCACATCATTCCACTGTGCGAACATGCCATTCAAACCCCGCCTCCCTCCCCTTCCCCCTCCCCTTCCCCTACCTGCCAGGATGAGCACATCATCGCCATCACCAAGCAACAAGGCCTGCCTTTTGAGTCGACTCAATAGTCGCCTCGCCATTCACCCCCCTCCCCCCTCCCCTCCCCTCCTCCCCCCCCTTCCCCCCTTCCCCGGCCTCCCAGGATGAGCACATAATCGCCATTAACAAGCCGCCAAGCCTGACTTTTGAGTCGACTCAAAAGTCGCCATTCACCCACCTCCCCTCCTCCCCTCCCCCCTCCCCTTCCCCTGCCTGCCAGGATGAGCACATAATCATCAACAAGCCGCCAAGCCTTAATTTTGAGTCGACTCCAAAGTCGCCATTCACCCCCCTCCCCTCCTCCCCCCCCTTTCCCCTTCCCCTGCCTGCCAGGATGAGCACATAATCATCATCAACAAGCCGCCAGGCCTGACTTTTGGGTCGACTCAAAAGTCTTCATTCACTCCCCTCCCCCCGCCCTTCCCCCCTCCCCCTCCCCGCTCCCCTTACCCTGCCTGCCAGGATGAGCACATAATCATCATCAACAAGCCGCCAAGCCTGACTTTTGGGTCGACTCAAAAGTCTTCATTCACTCCCCTCCCCCCGCCCTTCCCCCCTCCCCCTCCCCGCTCCCCTTACCCTGCCTGCCAGGATGAGCACATAATCATCATCAACAAGCCGCCAAGCCTGACTTTTGAGTCGACTCAAAAGTCTCCATTCACCCCCCTCTCCCCCAAAACCCCCTTCCCCTTCCCCTGCTAGGATGAGCACATGATTGTCATCAACAAGCCATCAGGCCTGCCCTCCCAGGTAACACCTGCCCTCCCAGGTAACACCTGCCCTCCCAGGTAACGCCTGCCCTCCCAGGTAACGCCTGCCCTCCCAGGTAACGCCTGCCCTCCCAGGTAACGCCTGCCCTCCCAGGTAACGCCTGCCCTCCCAGGTAACGCAACGCCTGCCCTCCCAGGTAACGCCTGCCCTCCCAGGTAACCAGCACAATGAATGCTGTTCTGCTTTCATAAATGGCCCCTGAGCATGCCTTGGGCACATGTTAGACGGGGCCTGCGAAAATTGCAGAAAGCAACAATAATATGGTATAATCAGATGCGTTTACTAAATTGGCTTATTGGAAATCGTATTCTTGTTTGTTGATGTTTTGAAACTTGAGATAGCCGTGTGCAGGTCTCTGCATATGTGAATCTGTAATACACGCCTCACCCCGTGTGTGACTGTATCGCAGGGTAAACTCATGGTGCCCCTCTTAGCATTTTCATTCATTCCGGTGTCAGATGTCTCAGATCAGAACCCTCGATCATAAAGCGAGTTGTTTTGAGACGTCTCAAAACAACTCTGTTTACACGTGTCTGATGTCTCAGAACCCTCGATCATAAAGCGTTTCTTTCTTACTGAGTCTTTTCTGCTGCAACAAACGTGTAATTTTGTATGTGTACCTCATTCCGTGTGACTGTATCGCAGGGCGGCTACAAAGTGCGCCTCTCAGTGACACCCTCATGCAGCGCGCCCTAGCCACTAGTTCCCCCGAACAAACGTCTGTTTCTGCACGTGTGCCTCATTCTGTGTGACTGTATTGCAGGGGGGCTACAAAGTGCGCCTCTCAGTGAACACCCTCATGTAGCACGCCCTAGCCTTACTCTCCCCCAACATCTGTGATGTTTGTAATTCTGCGATTCTGTATACGTGTATTCCGTGTGACTGCATCACAGGGGGGCTATAAAGTGCGCCTCTCGGTGGACACCCTCATGCAGCACGCCCTAGCCGCTGATTCCCCCGAGCCTCTTCGCCTGGTTCGGACTCATCCCACCCGGACCTAGACCAACGTGCCTGCTTGGGATTATAGGCTATACTTTCTAGCCAAATACGCATGCAACATGCCTTAGCCTTGGATTTCCATCCCAAGTGTCATCTCCTGGTTCGGTGTCGCTTGCTCAGAGCTATGACTCAATACATAATCAATCTATGCGCCTCATAACTCACCATTTGCCAAAAGCAACACGTCCAGGCAGGCAGCATGTCTTGCATGCAGCATGCCCCTTCTCACACCCCTTTATCATATCCCTTCGTCATGCTCTGTTGCATTGTTCGCACCCTTTTGCAACCCGTTGCGCCCCCTTGCATTCCTTATGCCTTTGCATGTCCCGCTCCCGTCCAATCAGGTGCATCGCTTGGACAGGGAGACAAGTGGCGCCATGCTATTGGCCCGCTCGGCCGCCAGTGCTCGAGTGCTCTCAGCCCTCTTCCGCGATAAGAGTGCTGCTGGCGTTCTTGCTGCTGCTGCTGGCTCTGCTGCTGCAAGTCCTGCTGCTGGTGCTGCCAATGTTGCCACAGGTGCTGCAAGTGCTAGGGTCGCTACTAGCGATGAGGGGAGCGCTACTGCTGATTGGTCCAACGAGGGCGGTGTGGCACGTGTGTACTGGGCGGTGGTGATTGGCCGGCCGAAACAGCTATCAGGGATGATAAATGCGCAGTTGCAAAAGGTTTGTGGGGTGTTCGTGTGTGTGTGGAAGGGTGCTTAGGGCCAATGCTTGAGGTTTGCAGTGTGTGCTCGGAAGGCCGTTTGTGTGTACATGTGTGTGTGCACGTGTTTCATGTACATGTTCGTCAAATAGTGTGTGTGTGGGTGCATGTCAGTGTGCCATATCCGATCATCACCGGTATGTGGAGAGCTCTTTATGATTGGAAAACAGATTGCCACAGGAATTTCGGTTGCTTGGTGCTTCTAGCTTTAACGTTCCCTTTCTTCTGCCCTTTTAATCTGGTTCGCTTTTTTTGTCCTATTTGTCCAGCCGGGCAACGATTCGCACTCACCCACTAAGGAGCTGCCAGCTGTCACTCTGTACCGAGTCATCCAGAGCTCTCTTTCTGGTGGGTCAATGGAAGTAGTCCTGCTACTACGTGTGGTTTTCATGGTTGAAACTTTTGAGGCGCATCAGAAAGTTGATGGTGCACGGGGTGTTCATGGTTAATCTTGTCGCTCACAATAGCGATTAACATTCCCACAATAGCATGGTGGGAAGGGCGCATGTCTAGAGCCAACGAGTGGTGGCATTTTGTGTTTGACTCATTCACTGTTTGATGCTTACTTTGTCGCATGTTCGTCGCTGCCTGGCTTGCTGAGTGCAGGATACTCGTGGTTAGAGCTGCGGCCCTTGACCGGTCGGAAGCACCAGGTGTGTGTTTGTGTGTTCGCTCCTCACACCCCTCGTGCACATGCTTAAGCAGAATCCTCTTCTTCCCCAATCCTCTCCCCCCCTCCCCCCCCCCTCCCCCCCCCCCCCCCCCCCCCCACCCCCCTCGACTTTGTTGTGACAGCTTGCAACTTGAACGGCCTGAAGCTTGCATTCTGGTGGTTACATTCCATTCAGTTGCACAATTGAGTATTTTCTTCCGTCGCAATGTTTGTTTCGTATTCTGTTCTGATCTGCTCTTTTCCTTGTCCTTCTCATGCCCTCAGCTGCGCATTCACTGTGCCTTGGCACTCGGGTGCCCAATACAAGGCGACATGACGTACGGTGCATGGGCACACAAAGGTGTACCACTGGAAACCACACTTCAAATACCGGTAGCACTTCCAGATGGACTACACCTTCATGCTCGGTCGATAGAAGTGCCTTTTTTTGTTTCATCGGACGATCGGCGGATCCAAGACACTCCGGCAGGGCGGAAGGAGAGGCTTGGCAATGGGGAAAGAAGTGCACATGAGGTGACAGCAGAGGAACATGCTCGTGCAAAGAGAACATTCATAGCACCGATTCCTGTGCATATGGCAGAAACTTTTTGCATTCTTGCATTCAACCGCGGAATCAATTGAGATGTTTTTTTACATTTCATACCAGCTTCATTCCTTCCATGCTTGTCCTTGTGGAGGCCCCTGCAATGCAACATTATCGAGCCAGTGCATATCGCGTCACTGATGTCAGGGATTCCATCTGCGTAAAATTGAAATTCGCTGGTACATTGCTTGATGCTGAAGCAAAGCAACGCTTTCTTGTCACCAGTCCGTTCCACGACCACGAGAACTCTCACCCGTTGATTTTCGTTCCTGAATGCAACTGGCCATCCAGACAGCAGCCGCTCCGCTTGCCCCTCCGAGCCTCAAAGGTAGAGTCGCAGCCTCCTTGCTTTCCGGATGCGGCACCGGAGTTATTTAGGATCGTACGTAGTACACAGTCGCGGAGACGCGTGACCACACCACAATAACTTAGATGGACGGTATCGTGGATTTCTGGAAGCTTCCATCGCCAGTCGCATCGTTATCCACGTCAGATCCTCCTTTCCGGCTCATTGACTGTCACGCGCACACCTACCCTTCTCAGTTCCCCCACACCGACTTCCTCCCTCTCCTCCGCCGCGCTGCTGCTGGGTGCGTCTCGCACATCGTCACGGTTCCGGAAACCCTAGCAGATGCTCACGAGGTCCTGGCTCTGGCTCAATCTCATCCGCTCATCTTCCCCGCAGAATGCGAACCTGGAATCTCACACCCTGCGGACCAATCCGAGCCGTCTGCCTCGGCTCAGCACAACTCGGACGGTTTCGGATTGAGAATCGCTCCTGCTATCGGGCTGCACCCAGTCCAGCCAGGACCTTATCCGCCTGACGTGGACACCACGTCAGCAGGCAGTAACGAACCGTCATCCTCAGCATTGTCTCACTCGGTCCAATTGTGTGAGCTGGAGCCAGTGCTGAATCTCATCCGGTCCAAGGCGGAATGTGGCCTGCAGGGAAGTTCAGGAAGCACAGTGCAGGAAATGGAAGGTGACAGCGCTTCAGTAGACAGAGTAATGGAGGAGTCAGGAACCACAGTTCCTTTGGTTTGCATTGGCGAAATTGGCCTTGATTTCAGCTTGAATGTGGTGGGTAAGTTGACTGGCAGTGATAGCAACATGAGCAGCAATACCGGCAGCAGCAGCAGTAACAGCAACAGCAACAGAAGTAACAGCGGAATAAGTGCCTTGCAATCAGAGGAGCTCAAGAGCGTGCAGAGAGAGGTGTTTCGGCGTCAGCTGTCTCTAGCAGCAGAGCTGGGTTTGCCAGTCAATGTTCACTCTCGGAGCGCGGGACATCATGCCATAGAGGAGATTATCCAATCAGGACTTCCTGCCACGTCAGCAGCATTGATGCATGCGTTTGATGGGCGGCTTGTGCATGCCGAACGGGCTGAACGGCATGGCGGTTTCTTCTTTTCTGTGCCACCCTCTGTCGTCCGGTCACCACAGACACAGGTGCGTCTGGGCATGTAACCTCAAGTGATTGCTGGGTATCTGGGTTGGTGTGTTCGGGAAGGGGGTTTGCTGAGTGTGGGATGGTATGCCACTGACTCTAGCCGTTTTCACTCATCTTTTCCTTCCTTTTGGTTTTGTTGTTCTTGTGTTTATAATTTTGTGGCCGAATTGCAGAAACTCGTGAAGGGCCTTCCTCTTTCGTGTCTTGTGCTGGAGACGGACTCTCCGGCGCTTGCTCCTGAAAAGGGTGCCACAAATGAGCCGTGCAATATTGTGGTATCGTGTAGGGAAATAGCTCGTATTCATGGCGTGACTGTTGCTGAGGTGGCCAAGACCACATCTGAGAATGCTATGCGATTATTTCCACGTCTGAAGCTGTTATGAGACAGGAATGCATATGGACATTTATTCACCTCATCTGTTTGTTCCCATGACTGATGGGGATGTTGTCAATCGATGTACCCGCATCTTCAACATTCTCATATCTTTTAACAAAGCTCTTCAAATCGGGTGGGCGAAAACCTCATCCATTCTGGGAGAACCGTTGTGATATTTTGCCCCACGTCGACTCTCCTTTCGCGCCCACAAATCCAGATGTTTGCCTTTCAGGCACCAGGGTAAATTTTGTTGTCGCAGCTTGGCCCGTCGATGCGCAACAAATCGACGATCACCAACCATGCCGACATCGCCCCAATAAAAAGGTACAGTCAGAGCTCCACGTCGGGAAGTAAAGTGCCCTTGACCAATCCGAGTGTTACGCGTTCAACGAACTCTTTGCCCCGTCAGCCCAGCAACAGCCACCTACAACTGCGCATGACACTCCCCAACCCCATCATGCGCCGATGATCCACACATCGCCACGGAAAGCCCTCAGCAGCTGCCAGCCAAACCCATTCCCCAGAATTGACTGAACGAAATCCCCGAGGAGCCATGTCAGCAGCCAGACGGTAATTGTCGGCTCGCAAACAGAAGTCGTCAGTTCCCTCAATACCTCAAAACCTCTGCGATCCCATCCATCCACAGCCAGCTCCCTCTTTATTTGCTTCGACCCACCTTATCGCTCTCTTTCAAATTTGCAGCTTTCCTTCGCCTCCTCATTTCGAAGGCTTCCTAGTTTCCCCTGATTTTTAATCAGCTTCACATTTTTCAATGGCTGCCGTCACTCTTTCACAGACAGCCACGGCCTCGTGCCGTGCCACCTTCAGCTCAGTGAAGCTCGAGTCGAAGCTCAAGAGGTCCGTCAGCCTCGCTGTGCAGCCCGCCTTTGCCTGGAAGTCTGCTGGCGTCGCTTCTACGGCCTCTTTCAAGGGAGTCGGCTCGGTTGTCGTCAGAGCGGTCGCTGAGGACGTGCAGGGTGGCGGAAACTACGGTGCTCCCCGCGAGATTCCAGGCACCAAGATCTATGTCGGCAACTTGCCGTTCAACGTCGACAGCGAGTCGCTCGCTGAGATCTTCCAGGAGGCTGGCGTCGTTGAGCTTGTCGAGGTAAGATAGCCGTTTAAGCCCTTAAGTCTCAGGTTGCCATGCTTTGAAAGGTTTATTAACCTGTTTGAAGTTTTCCACCGTCTTACTTGAGAGTCAATTGCGTTCTTAGTGCGCAATATTGGTACTCATGTTTTCTTGTTAAACCCTCAGTGAATTTTGTCTAGAAACTTATCTCTCCGGTTTCCGATTTTATATACTTACTGCTGGTGTGCATGCAGGTGATCTACGACAGGGACTCTGGTCGCAGCAGGGGTTTCGGTTTCGTCACGATGAGCACCCCTGAGGAGGCTCAGGCGGCCATCGAGAAGTACGACAGCTCGGTGAGTTAAACCTTATCGCTGAAGTCACATTTACCATTAATGGTTGAATGAGGATTTAGGAGTGAACTGTTCGTCATCCTTGATGTACTCTAGTCCTCAATGTCCTGCCGGCGACAAACTCACATGAGCGAGCGAAGTAGTTATGTAGGGGCAGAGTCGGCCGTGTACGTTTCAATCTTAATAATGATTGTTTTCGTGTCCGTCTAATTGTCGTCATCGCGAGCAGGAACTTGGCGGCCGCATGCTCAAGGTCAACATGCCCGTTCCCCGCGGCGAGCGCGAGAGGGGTGCTCGCACCGAGAGGCCACGTGGCGAGAGGCCCCGTTTCGGCGGCGGAAACCAGGGTAACAAGCTCTACGTCGGCAACCTGTCGTGGGGCATGGACGACATGGCTCTGGAGGATCTGTTCGCTGAGTTCGGCAAGGTGCTCGAGGCCAAGGTTGTCCTGGATCGCGACTCCGGCAGGTCCCGAGGGTTCGGCTTCGTGACTCTGTCGAGCGACGCGGAAGTGCAGGAGGCGATCTCGAACCTCGATGGAGCTGTAAGTGCCAATTCTAGGAGTGAAATTGATCGTTTTTATTGAATCTCAGATTGACTGTTTATAGGCCTGTCGTTTCTAAGATCGGCGTACCTGTTCGGTAGAGTTTCAAGTGAACCCGTGATGCTCATTCTGGTTTCTTTCTGTGCTTGCCTTTGTGTTCCTCTTTTCTTTCATTTCAGGACGTTGACGGCAGACAACTGCGGGTCAATGTCGCTGCTCCCAAGGTTTGAATAGAGGAAGCAGTCTAGACACTCTTGTCAGCTATCCCCTGCAGGGGTTTTCTTATCTCATCTTCTTACTCGACACGATTATTAGGTATCAGTTATGGACCTGATGGGTTTCTTCCTCTGTATTGACGGCTTTCATGAAGTGTTCACCGGTTTTTACTAAAATTCACGTGTTTACCATAAAAGGGTCAAGGTCTCAGGCAGACACACTTGAGCGCGTGCACCCTTCCCCCACCGCTCTCATACGCTTTTGTCCGCTCACTCGCACAGCCTCACGTGTTCCTTACCCTTTCCCTCGACCTTGTCCCGCTCCTTCCCTCTTTCAGTTCTCCCCCTCCGTTCGCGTGCTTCTGCGTTGCGTTACCTGTCGTTTTTTCGTTTTCCTGGTTCCTCCCCTCGTTCGTCCTCTTCTTCCCTAGTTCGTTGTTTCTCTTGTCGACCCCTTCCGTCGTCCTCTCTTACCGTGTTCCTTTCTGCTGTTAATCCTGCACGCCTTGCTCCGACTCCTGCTAGCCCAATGCGGGTGTTCAGCAATCCAGCCCCTCGTCCAGTCCCGTCACCTATTTAGATTTTTCCTTCTCTGTCCTAGCTCCAGTTTCTTCCTCGGTTTCAGCCTGTTCGCCGCGTGAGATGCACTGTCTTCCCCTGTGTTCCCTAAAGCTGCGTCATCAGTCCTCTTTTCCCGTGTCCCCTGTAGCTGCGTCCTTTCGCTAATGCATGCGTGCTGAGGCTGTGCTCTCCGCTTCTCCCAGCAACCACTCAATACATACCTCCCTTCCTCATTCCTACACGTTATTCGCCTCTCACAAATGCATTCCTCGAGCTTCGTCTCACAGAAGGCATGAATAACATAGTACCGTACTTAAAGCTTGAGAGAACGGTATGTGAATGAACTTGTGATTTTTACACTAAAGGCTATGTAATATTTTTCATGGTGGTATAACAATTGCGCTTCTCAGTTACGGTATGTCAGATTACAGAACCATGTAAAGAATTAAGGTACGGTAACATGCTACGTGTGGTTCAGTCTACGCTAACGTCAGAATTGTTTCCCTCTGCACTGACCTGCATGTAACCGCGTTTAACCACACTGAAATGCGTTGGGTCAAAAGAGGTGTGACTGATTAAAGGCCCAGCCCACATGCTACAGATGAAAGGCTCAGCCCACATGCTTAAAACCGGGGTGCACATTCAGCTGAATGTGCATCAAAGGTTATCCCTTGACTGAGTGGGTTACGAGGTGTGCTTTCAACCCCTTCAAGTCGAAATTCGTTTCCCCCCTCCCCCGCAATTTCGTTTCCCCACGCCCCCGCAATTTCATTTCCCCCTCCCCGTCGAAATTCGTTTCCCCCCTCCCCCGCAATTTTGTTTCCCCCCTCCCCCGCAATTTCGTTTCCCCCCCCTCCCGCCAATCTGTTTCATCCCTCCCGCCATTCGGTTTCACCCACTCCCGCCATTTCACCCCCTCCCGCCACCTACGAAATGCCCGAAGCTCTAGCGGAATCATTTTTTTGTCGCCCCTCGTGAGCCAATCACTGTTTTTCTCCAAACCCCCTTCCCAACATCTCAAGCCGAACCGCGTTGAATGTGCACCCTGGTTTTAAGATGAAAGAGGTCCAGCCTCCAGACCAGTCAGGAAACTGGTATAGGCTTGTTCTAGACAATGGTTTTCAGACAACCCTACTACCGTACATGTCTGCTACACGTTCTGCATCCATCTAAACATCTGACTTCGAATAGCACATACCGTAATATCTCTCAAGCAGCAGTAGCTCCAAGTGCTGGTACCAGCCAGGTGCTAGAGTATTGTATTTGCAGCTCATGACACTGATCATATTATTAAGATAAGAGTAAGAACTTACATTCTACTTAGCCTCCTACTCTGCACATCTGCCGTACTTAGCACTAACATCAGCATTCAGCACTAACACTAGTTCTAAATGAAACCTAAAACGGGCTAATGAATTTAGCTGCACTCAGCAGCACTTTGGGAACCATCCACTTGCGCTCTGGTCCCAGTGCTTCTGCTCTCGGCCCCACAGCAACAGGCCCTTGCATTCCCTGCCTTGGCAACCACCCTCCAGCGACAGCGTGCATGTCATCTCCAGCACGCGCAGTTAGCTTTTCAGAATCCTGATACGTGAAATTTGCCTCCCCAGCAACGCACTGCCCTGCTGGGCACTGGGCAGTGATTTCTCCTGGAACAATGATAGCAGCAGGTATTGATCCCTGAAACGTCGCATAACCACCCAATCCAGGCGGCACAGTAGCAGGAGATGCAGCAGCGGTGGTGTGAGAGGCAGGAATGACGCCAGTGGAGGTGCCTGGGGCGGACCTTGAAGGACATGCAGCTTCTGCTGCATGATCCAGTGCTGATGTGGCGGAGTCCAATTGGTGGCTGTGGCTGGGGCTGTGCCAACCCACGCCATGCACTATGTCCAAAATATCTTCCACCAGCTCGTCTCTGCCGCCCCGAAACAGATCCTATGATGGGAGAGGGTAAGGGGAACATTTTCGAAAGGAAGGGAGAAAGGAGAAATAAGAGGGGAAGGCAAAGCTCTGCCTTGAGAAAGCTCTGTTGGCTGCGCTACAGGGTTTAGGGTTTATATGCAACATAATGTTTATATGCAACATAATGTTTCCCTCTACAGTGACCTCCCACAGTGACATTCGACATAGGCATAGGGCCTGCAGTGTGCCCCTTGACAGTTACAGTTTTTTTTTTTTTGCAGCATGGGATCAATGTGCTCCTTACCACTGTACAGCTTCAGTTTTGTCCTTGATTGTACCCTTTATAATGCGATTCAACGCACCTGAAGTGTGAGATCAATGTGCCCCTTGCCACTGTACAGCTTCACTCTCGTCTCAACCCCTGATGTCTGCAACGCTGCTCCAAAGTCCTCACTGTGATGCCATGCCATGCCGTGCCATGCCACACACAAGCAAGGAGGAAATCTGATGAGATAAGGTGAAGCAAGGTGAGCGGTAAGGTGCGGTAAGGTGCAAGGAAAGGAACGGAAAAGTCTTTCACCCCGTGGTACAGGTGCACAGGGGATAGCAGGGATGATTGTAAAAGGTGTGACTATAACAGGTGCAGCTGTAGTAGGTGCGTCTACATACCTGGCAGCCAAAGGAACGGGAGGTGCACAGGGGGCAGCAGGGGGGCGGCAGGCGTGACTGCAACAGCCGTGACTAAGACAGGTGAACATGCACATATGTAAGTAGGTGTAACTATTACCAGGCAGTGAAAGGACCAGATGTATCGACCGCCCCGTGCTAGAGGTGCACGGGGGGCAGCAGGTGTGATTGTAAGGCGCGTGATCATAACAAGTGTGACTACACTGTCCTACCTGGCAGTGAACGCATTGGAGATATCGTATACCCCATGGTAGAGGTGCACGGGGGACAGCAGGGGGGCGACAGGTGTGACTGTAACACAGGTGTGACTGTAACACAGGTGTGACTGTAACACAGGTGTGACTGCAACACAGGTGTGACTGACCAGTATGATTGTACCAAGGCGTACCTGGCAGTGAAAGGAACGGATATGTCATCTACCCCGTGGTACAGGTGCACGGGGGGCAGCAGGGGGGCGGCAGCCTTGAAGGTGGGGCGGGAGACGAGCAGCTCGGGGGAGAAGAGAGGCAGAGACTCCTCGCCCTCGAATATGCTGTGGTTTGGAGGGGTTGAAGAGGGGTGAGAGAGGGTGCGCGGGAGTGAAAATGAGTGAAGGGGGTTGAGGGGGCGAGGGAACAGGGGCAGGCTTCGGGAAGATGAAGGGGAAGGGGAAGGGGAAGGGGAAGGGGAAGGGAAACAGGATGAGCCTTAGGAGAAGGGGAAAGGTAAGGGTAAGGGGAATGGTAAGTGGAAGAAGGGTAAGGGGAACCGGAAAAGGGAGGGGGAGGATTAAGGGGAAGGGGAATGGTAAATGGAAGAGAAGGGATAGGGCGAGACAGGATAAGAGACCAATTGGTGATAATGAGGCTAGCTAGACACACCTGAGTGTTTATGGTGACTTTTGAGACGTCTAAAAAATCAGGATAAGAGACCAATTGGTAATGATGAGGCTAGTCACACCTGAGACGATTTTTGACGCGCCTCAATAAGGGATTGGGCGAGGCAGGATAAGAGACCAATTGGTGCTGATGAGTCTAGACACACCTGAGTGGCTATGGTGACTCACGAGAGGCACGTGATAAAAGGGAGTTCTTGAGACGTCTCAAAAACTCCCTTGTATCACGAGACAGGATAGGAGACCAATTGGTGGTGATGAGTCTAGACACACCTGAGTGGCTATGGTGACTCACGAGAGGAAGAGGTAGGGGTTCATGCCCCTGGACTCAAATTGCGGCTCCAGGTTGATTAGGTTGTAGCTGGGGAAGGGGAGACAGGGGGGAGAAGGGGAAGGTGGAGGGAGAGAGTGACTTATGAGTTGACTCAAAACAGGTAGGGGTTCATGCCCCTGGATTCGAATTGCGGTGCCAGGATGATAAGATTGTAGCTGGGAAGGGGAGACAGGGGGGGAGAAAGGGGGACGAAGTTTGGCGCAGAGGCGGAGGGAGAGAGTGAATGTTGAGTGGACTGAAAAGAGGTAGGTGTTCATGCCCCTGGACTCGAATTGTGGTGCCAGGTTGATCAGGTTGTAGCTGGGAGGGTGGGGAGGGGAGGGGAGGGGAGGGGAGGGAGGGAGTGACATTTGAGTCGACTGAAAAAGAAGAAGGGGTTCATTCCCTTAAAGCAGCAGTATACATTTGGCAGGGAGAGTGCCAAAAGTTTATAAATGGTACATGGTGGGGGTGAAATTGTGGGGCACACTGTAAAACCCTGAACCCCGCTGTCAAATGTATACTGCCGCTTTAAGTCGAATTGTGGGGTCAAAAAGTTTCTGTTCTCTCAACAAAAAACCATTCATTCAGAATCTGCAGAGGAAAAGCATGCCACCATGCACATGCATGCACCTCTACTCACAGCTCCCGCCCCTCCTGTTCCAGCGCTCCCCCCAC